TTCCCCCGGAGGAGCTGGAGGAAGTGTCTGGAGAGAGGGAGGTCTGGGCATCTTTGCTTAGACTGCTGCCCCCGCGACCCGGCCCCGGATAAGCGGAAGAAAATGGATGGATGGATGGATGGATGATACAGAAAGATCAACATCAGCCACTTTTATTGTTGGGGATCTGATCTTGAACATGTTTTATTCACCTGAGCTTAAAGAACTGGCCTGATGCTTTAGCAGCTGTTGGCCATTATGAACAGTTTCCAAAAAAGATAATAGAGCTGAATGAGCACCTTTCAGAAACACTTTGATCATCACCACTGTCATGAAGGAGGATTTACTGTAGGGCTGCTGGATTAGACCGACTTGGCTCTGCCTGGGTGTACCTAATAAACTGACCACTGAGTGTGTTGCGTCATATCACAGGGCTGATGAAGCTAAAGACGTAAAAGCAGTCTGCCTCACTCTGCCTCGGGGGTACATGGCATCTTCATAGCAGAGCTGGACTGGTTTATTTAAAGTCACTGGGGGCATGACTCCTGGGCCGGGCATGGCTTAGTGAGTGTGTGTGTGTGTGTGTGTGTGTGTGTGTGTGTGTGTGTGTGTGTGTGTGTGTGTTGTGGTGGGGTTGCTGCCTTGTTTGAACCCTGGCCCTCTTTCCCCCAGGAAACCACACTGGCCGTCGGTCTGCGTCAGGCCGATAAAGGCTGCAGGCTGGTCTGTGAAGGCTCAGCAGGACCAGCTGTACATCAGAATAATTTACACAGTGCGTGCACTGTCGGTACGCAGTGCGTGCACTGTTAGGATACGCGGCTCCAAGTGTTTCTGTGCAAAGGCTCCTCTTTACATGAAGGTTTGCTCCTCCACCCTGTCGACTTTCACTTCCTCGTCTCGGCCTTTTTGCTTTTGTAAACGCCGGTGTGTTGAGCGCTGCAGGTTTCTGCACATTAGTTAGACGTGGTTGAGAGTGCTGACCATGAGGAGCGAACACATCACACCGGTTTGAAAGTCATCACATTGGCTGCCCGTCAGTTTTCCTACTGATCTTAAAGCCGACCATTTGCTAGGTTTCCTGGGCTTGCACCAGCCACAGTGCGGGAACTTTGGTGAAGCAGCTTTTAGCTTTGATGCTCCGAGTGTTGGTGGGTTTAGATGTGAAACCTCTTCAGTCTGAGGATCCCACAGTTTTCCACCCATTGCTTGTGCTGTTTATTCACTCACAGTATGTTACAGTTTATTCTGCCAGTCATCCCTAAAGCACCTTGAATCATATGCACCTAACTGAAAGGTGTTGGAGCACCATGTGGCCCGAGTCCAGAGAGGAGAAACTCCTTCGGCGTTGGCTCTTCAGGGAGGAAGCTGCACCGATACCAGAGCTGACAGACGCCGGCCAGACGATGTCACATATGTTATTGAAGCTAGTTTCAGCTTCCTTTGGTAGATCTTCCTCTCCTCTGCCTCTCTTCCTCCTCACCCTTTTTGACTCCCTGAAAAGGCCGCTAAGGTTTTTATTTTCCTCAAAAGGAAACAGGTCATCCCCCACCCCAGGGGTGAGGGTAGGGGTGTGTTTGTAGGAGGACATAAATCAAACGAGAAAGCACAGACCTACTTCGTGGCAGGTCAGAAGGGGTTGACGGGCCAGTCCACAAGTCTTTAGGCTGAGGAAGACCAGAGCGCCTCACTGCAGGAGGTGCTGGGTCATAGGTCACGCATACCAGGGTGATGGCTTCAAGAGCGTACTCAGAAGGGGACATGTATGGATGCCTGGCCTCCTGAAGCCTGGCACCATCACCAGGGTTCAGCTTTCAGGGCAGTCAGCACACAGCGTGTTGACTTCAGGAACTGTCACAGGATTCATCTGAACTGTAGAATTATACATCTGAACTCGACTGGGAAGGGTTTTAGTTGTTAAACTGGTCCTTTAGCTACTGAAACCAAATCATCACCAGGGTTCAGCCTTTGCTTTCAGGGCACTCAGCACACAGCGTGTTGACTTCAGGAACTGTCACAGGATTCATCTGAACTGTAGAATTATACATCTGAACTCGACTGGGAAGGGTTTTAGTTGTTAAACTGGTCCTTTAGCTACTGAAACCAAACTAATCTCCTAACACACTAACCTGAATCAGACTCTTTTAGCTTCCAAACCCGAGTTTTAGCTTCTGAAACAAACTGTTAGCTGCTAAACTGTGTTGTTTAGTAAACCTGGACTTTTTTTAGCTGCTTATCATCTTTTATCTTTTATCATTTAAACTGAAGGTTGAAGTTGAAAATGTTTCTAAAAATGATGGGTTTGGTTTTCTGACTAGATTTCCTG